GATGCATTGCATAAATGCATCTCTACGGGTAGAATTAAGAGTCATGCTGAATGTAGGTGGTACACACTGTGCAGCACTGGCCCAGGAAGCACCTCCAGAGGCAGTCTGAGTGACTATCACTAGAGGCGTTACTAGGCAGCAATGTAAACACTGCCTTTTCTCTGAACCTAACCCCTGGGTCACAGCCTGCCTGCATGGAGCCCATCAGTGGCCATCTCCCTCCTATAGCCTGGTTGCTGCGGGCTGGGTGTTGGGCTTTGCATTGTTGCACCTTGCTCACAAGGGAGACTGCAGTTTAGTACATTGCCTGTTAATTTTTCCATTGCAGACACTGTGAGCCATGCTAGCGTGATTTGTCTGAGGAGTTGATTTTGAAACACCTTAGCCTCTGTTTTCTCAGGCAGGTACACTACTTTGATAGTGTTTGTTTGAAGGTAATTATTATTATCATTATTTTTTACATTTATTGTGTTTATATTTTATAATTTAAATTCTATTCGATATTTTGTAAGCATTTTTTATGTGAATTATTATATATATTTTTCACAGGCTGCGTTTATGTCACTGCATTTGTCTATCAATATTTGATATGCAGTAGTACATTTCTGAAGTCCTCATTCGACTTACTAATTATGGTTATATATTTTTATAGATTTTGGTATAGATTATGTGTTTCTGATTTATTTATATATTGTGCTATATAGCGGTGTCCATTTTTTGTTCTCTAGTGTCCAGACTGCCAAGTAACAGCAATTATGCAATACTGTTTATTTGGGCATTCGTCTGGAACATTTAATTTAAGGTTATGACCCTGCTTTTATCTTTTCATATGAATCTATACATTGTCACTTAAAAGGTTTGTATAATTTCTTTTTACGTACACAGATTTCACACAGTAGCACTGTACCCTCTTGGTTTTTTTTATTAGCACACCAGTAAGACATGCTATAATAAATGTAATCCATGTCCAATAGATAAAAAATGGGTTATTTGAAATTTCTTATCCTACACTTCACTGATCATGGCTAGTTTTTTGTTTTGTTTTTTAAATATATACTATTATTTATGCGATGTTCTATGAATCCCATGAAGCATCACAGGAGACATTAGGATGCCTGAGCATCATAGGAAGTGTAGTTCACAACAAATGTCATTTCCACTGCTGTTGATTGCTTTTCCTATGATTCTCAGCCAGCATGTACAAGATTTGTCTGTTGAGCTTCTTACTAACTGTAGTTCACTGCAGGTAATTTGACAAACATTAACTGTGAACTACCATTCTGATCATGCACAGCCAGCCAAAAGTCTCCTATGATGATGCTGGCTGTTCATCATCAGGAAGGATAGTTGAATTGATATGTACTGCAATCTATGTCTGCCTATGCTGTACAACATAGACTTCTATCAGGGAAACAATTTCATTATTTCAGCTACATGGTTACTTCAACCGGGTGTACCTAGAGTGACCAATCTATTAAACACAGATGTTAAATGAGCTTTATTTGCTATCTAAAGTAGAGTACAATCTTTATTGGCAAAATTCATTACATTAGAATACAATATTAACTAACTGCATTACATTAGGCTAGCTTTATTGTGCTTTAAACAAGGTGCTGTTGCATGTAAATTCTCATTTTAGTTTTATCATGAACTAACAATGGATGTGGGAATGATGTCCTAGCAAGCCAATTATTTAACAAGGTGTCTTTACTTCTTTAATTATAGAAACCGCAAAATGAACCAGAAAATGGTGAATAGCAGGACTATTGATTCCTTCTTCAGTACTAGTGCAAAAAAGTCAAGAGGAGCACAGCCTGTACTAGAAAGCACTTTAACTATAGAAACGGACACTAGCCTCCCTTCGTGTTCTGGTACACACGTAGAGCTAATATCTTGTAAAACTGATTCTGTGTTGCCACTGTCTGTTGATACCCCACCTTAAACTGGTAGTATCCTAATGAATGACATTGGCACACATTTTGGGAAAACAATTGATGACTTCACCAAATGCTTGTTACTGGAAAATCCATGGCAAGCTCCTCCTGGATATGAGCTACATTTCTCTGTTCAGAATATGACTTCCAATAATGGAGAAACTCGCTCAATTAAAACGATACTTGTCAAAACAACATGACAGTTTTCCTTGGCTAGGATATTCAGCTGTTAAGAAGGGTTTGTTTTGCAAGTACTGTGCACTTGGAAAATTGGTAACTGAGCTCCTTACGAATTTTAAAAAGCTTAAGGGTAAGGAAGGAGATTTGGAAGTCCCTGCAAGCCGTGTTTATCACCAGGAGAGTGTAACTGAAGGAAAAGCAGTTTTAAAAACCTACCATTCACCTGACAATGAAATTGCCAATCAAAAAAAAAATTCACATCATCTTCAGAAGGAGAACCGAGAGCAAATTCATCCTATCGTTGAGTCCATTATATTCTTGGGTAGACAAAATACCTCTACTTGGCCACCGAGATGATGGCGCATTAATGGATGACTCCACTCCGGCCGTGAATGAAAGGAATTTTCGGGAATTGCTGAGATACCACGTTGCATATGGAGACAAAATGTTAGAGAAGCTCCTCCTTACTGCATCTTCACGTGCTATGTACATTTAAAAATCCACACAAAATTATTTAATCAAGTGTTCTGATGAAATCTGCAATATCATTGTTGGTAGAATTAAAGAGGCTTGCTAATTTAGTGTAATATTTGAGGACACTACAGATTTTTCACATACAGAACAACTTTCACTTAACTTTAGATAGGTCTACAATGGATCGATTTGTGACAATTTTATAAAATTTGTAGATGCCTATGAATTTGCAACTCAGAGGGAGACAGGATTGGATAGTTGAGATACAGAATCAATTCTTACCGGACAGGTTTTAAGCCAGATAGTAATTCAACTAATCAAAGACCTCTCTCCCTGGACATCACCCTTTGTGATGGCATTTGAACAGACAGATGCAGTGTTATGTATTCAGAGGTGGCTGGTGTGGTTTCTGAAATTAGACAAGTACCCAACAGTTGCAGATGTCCTTGCTACAACCATTCCATTTCAAAGTCCTCACAAGTTTCAGCAGTTCACAAGGCAATAGCAGTGGTCAAATCAACAATTTCTTTAAAAAAAAAAAAAAAAAAAAAAGTGTAATTTTGTTTTAAAGCAGGAGTAAGGCTCTCAACTGACCTTTGTGAAACTAGATGGGTAGAGCGCCATGATTCTCTTATAAGATTTTGAGATGGACTAGTTAAGGTGGTGAGTGCACTATCAGCAATATCTCAATGGAAATGCTCAAGCTCTATTTCATCAGCCTCTACTCATCCATTCTCTGTGCAGTGCAGAATTTCTTTTGCCTTGATTTCACTTATCAATGTTGACTTGAGATAGATTCAGAGTATAGAGATCGGTCAATTAAGAATACTAGTCCAAAATATTCACCTAGTTTTAAAATATAGAAGTAGATAAAATAAGGCACAAAAAACTAAATTGAAAACAGGAGTATATGAACCTGTATACTTTGTATATAACCTGGGAGACAAGTGCAGCAAAGTATGTTGGTAGAGATGAAAAATATAGTCTAAAGGAACTGGCAGTAATTAAATAGCCTCTCTCCCTTCAAAACTAGGTAGACATGGAAGCAGAAAATAAAGATTATAGCAACATGCTAGTCAAGCAAACGTGAAGAAAAAACCAAAAACCACACAACCCACAAGTGTGTGCCCAGTACCCACACCCCGGGACTTTTCAGCTTGTGCCGGTATTTTATTTTCAGATTGATAATACACTGCAATACTGGTGCCGCCAGCAAATGGCACTGTGTGGGGGAGGCAGGGATAGGAAGCTACATCTTATCGCCTCTCTCCTGACTGAATCCGCAGAGGAGCCGCCGAGTGCAGCCAGCAACTCCCCAGACTGCAGAGACAGCCTACAGATCAGGTAAGTGAGAGGGCGGGAAGGGGTAGCCTACAGAAAGGACAGCAAGGAGCACAAAGGATCAGAAAGAGAAATAAGCTAAAGGGCGCAAAAGCAGAAAGGTGAAGGAGTAAAGGAGGAGAGAAGGCAGTGTCAGAAGTAAAAAGATGGTCAAATGAAGAAGGGAGATTGGAGCAGGAAGGAGAGGTAAAGTAAACCCTCCACATCATAAGGCTTTGGTACCCTGGCCTGGCAGAGAAACATTGGACCGTCTCATCTCCCCAGGTTTAAAAAAAAAAAAAAGTTGATGTGTTCACTTATTTACTGAGTGTCAGGAAGCACAGAGTGCCACTGGGTAGGGGGTGTTGCTGATTGACTAGAGCGGTCAGCTGACCACTAAGCCAATCAGTACCTTCCCATACGTAAAAAAAGTAAAACATTTTTATGAACCAGCGATTGGCTTAGAGCGTCAGCTGACCACTCTAGCCAATTTGCGGCACCCATGCCTGACGTCAATCTACACTTCCTGACAATCAGTTTCAGAAGCTGAATACCACTGAGCGACCTGGAGGTGGAGGAAGTCTTTGGGGTTAAACCATTTGAGAGCGGTTTAACCCCTTAAAGGAGATCCTCCAGTGATCATAGCATTTTCATTTAGATGAAGTTGTTATAGTGACCAGAATGTTCCCTTAATTTGCATAACGGAACGCTATAGTGTCAGGAATATTGTGAAAACGCCATTTACCCACATCTCCATGGGAGAATTTGGCATCTTATGGCAGTGTGTAAAGTCCAACCTCATCGTGTCACCCTTTTTTTCCCTTTAAGTGTCCCTCCCTGACCTCCATCCCACTTCAGCAAGGGGAAGTGACATCAGTCATTGGGGGCTGCAGGGAACTTTGCCTCAGGCTGGCCTATATACAGGTTAGTAATATCTTTATCCTGTTTCCTGCCCCCATTTGTTGGTAACAGGACCATAACAGCACAGATTGCTATAAAACCCAGTGTAATTGGGAGGGGATGAGGAAGTAGAGAAACATCCTTCTTACAAGGGAATAAATAGAATCTACACATCTATGCAATTCAATTAACCTTTATTTGTTTCTTGCTTGTACATTGTGACATATGTGCTATTTACAATAGTAAGGTGTTCGTTTTGGTTCTTTTTTTTTTTTTAATTACGTGCCTGTTTCTATTCTTGTTTTCTCACATGCTTTATCATCACATCATTAGACTTAATTATATTTATTAATTTTAGTGGTGCATGTACCTTTATCCTAGTTTCCTTTTTGGTGCACAACAAACTCCAGGGTTATACAAATTAGTGGGTATGTAGGACTCCTTTGCAGGAGTGAAAAAAAAATGCTTGTTACATGCAAAAAAATCCTAAAAATTTAAACACACAGATAAACTTCATTTAAGAAATAAAATATTTTACATTTTAAAGGTAGTTTTGTTTTTTTTCTATTTCTTCCGGGTACCACCCCTCCTCAAGGAACAACCTAAAATGAAAATAAGACATCAGTATTGTATACATAACATTACACAATGTACCTAACCTAAATTGATTTTTGTTTTGTGTCCTTTCATATAGCATATCATTTTACTCTGACTGGACGAGATAACCCACTTTGCACTGACCCTTTTCCAGACATGTTGCTTGCATGGCAAAATTTCAGATTTCTTATAAATAAAATATGCCTTTACAGAAAACCAGCCCTTCAAATTTAAAAAAAAACCCATGGCAAAAAGTGGCATGCCTCTGCATTGGGACATTAGTTGTCTGGCATTTTCCAAATAAATCCATATACAGTATTTTTTGTAGTTAAATAATGCCACTACCTTAAAGATTTTATTCGGAAATAAAAGAAGTCTATGAAGCTAGAAAGGCTGAGGGGGAAGAAACTATTCTTACGGTGTTAAAAAATTTTTTTATTAAGAAAAGTTTTATTCTTTAATGCAAATACTATACAGATTGATGCACCAAGAAGGTTTTCTGGCATTAAACAGTGCCAAGTGATGTGGTGCACAAATACCGGGTTGTGGTTAGTGCTTAAGTTTGGGAGAACAACCAATTTTTGTGAATACCAACAGGCTTATTCACATATGTGCCAATTGCTGGAAATTCAAAGTTAACTCAAATTGAAATCCAAATTTCGCTCTTCAATGAATATACCGTGTAAAAGGATTTTTAATATGGAAAGGGGCAGCAGAGACTCATTCAGTTCAACTTTGCACATATTGTTCCTTTTTTTACCCTAATTAATATTTTTGAAATTCAGCTCTGGTCATTACCATAGTTTGATAGGTGGAGGGAAGATTCGAGTCAATCTTTTAAGCATACTATTGACCTAAACAAAGTTAAATAACCCTGTTTGGAGCAATAGCCACAAGGTGGGGGGAGAGGAGATCTTTCCTAACATGTGTATTGTAGAATCATGGGAAATGGTTACTACACTAGTTTCATACCTCTGTACAAGAATGATCTAGGAACTTCCCATGTTTCTATTTCTTCAGGATCAATTCTAGTTTGTTTTCTTTTAGAAGACTTGCCCGTTCCTTTCTTTTTAGGCTTGTCTAACAGGGGAGAAAAAGTGTGAACACATTTTGTAAATGGAGTTGTCTAGCTTTCATATATAGTAACAAGTTCATGCAGAACACACAATAAGACAGTCAAATATCTGTTCTGTCACTACTCAATGGGGGTAAAGCCTTAAGGTTTGAAGTTTGTTTGGCTTGGGATATCCCATGGAGGAAGTTCACTTACTTGTCATTTAAAATACTTTAGTGGATGGATTGCCTACATTTTGCACTATGGAATTACAGATTATGTGCCATTGTTAGTCAGTGTTTACCTGGGTCAGAAAGGCTTTAATGATTCAGTGCCTCCAAACACCTGCTGTACCAAAATCTTTTAGTACCAGAGTGCACAGAGCCAGTCATTTCATAGCATGAGCATGCACACTTACTACATATAACTATGGATGAGGAAAGTTGATAGCCTCCTTAAGACGCTCCAGACAGAAATAATTATTGGGTACCAGGAAACCCTGAAGTCTGTCAACCAACTTGAAAGCCATGAGAAGTGAGGTGAGAAAAGGCTTAAAATGCAAACAAAACCTCCCAACAAATATAGGTTTCAATTAAGTTAACAATTTCAGTTTTATTCTTATACTATTAATGTATTTTGTAAAACTATGACTTACAGTTCAGTAAGTGTTCAAATAAACTATCCAACAAGTCTACCTTGCTCTTTTTTGGTTGAATCTTGCAAATAATATGAAGGTTCGGAGAGTTTGGGTTTAGCACCTCTTCCAACCCAGTACTCTTCAACAGTTGCCCCAGTGGTTTTCTTTTGAGGTTTTCCTAGGTGAAGCAGATAATATTCTAATGGCAGAAACCTGTAAGTTGCTAACAAAGTAAATATTCATCAACACAGTTATAGTAGCATATTGTTAGAATGAATTTAGGTTTTATAATTAGAAAAAAAACCCACAGACAGCAAGAAATGCAAAGTTTAAACATATACATAGCAACTGCCATAAGCAGACACATGGCTTAAGTACTTCGTATCCATTTTACAGTGAAGCAATTTTTGGAGAGACTGGTTCATCACAATTGCAGTGTATGCATACACACTTCACATCCTCTTTGGAAACACAACAAATCCTTGATTTTACTGCACTCAATGGATGCCACAGCCAGCATCAGAATCTTGAAGTGGATCTGGGTTTGATAATTTCCAATCTGAAGCTTTTGCAAAAATTAACTGTTGAGGCAATAATTTGGTTTGTCTCATTAAGAGACCATGTAGAAGATTCTTCATTAATCAACTTACCACCCAGTGACTTCTGCAGAGATCTCTTCTGTTCAGACATCTCTTTGTAGCCCCTCTCTAGCTTTGTGACTTGCTTTTCATAGTTTGCATAGTCACTGACATCTTGCTCAGTCAGTCGATGCCCTTGTGCTTCATACCCCTTTTTCTTGACTTTTGACTTTTCTCTGACAGGCCAACTGATCAACTGAGTCGGGATTGCACCTTTTGGTGGTTTCCAAAGTATTCTCTTCTGAGCAATCTGTTTAAAGAAACTACCTTTAATAAGATCTAGCTGCCCATGTGGTAAATTTCCCTGAAAGTAGTATTCATCCTCATCACTTTCTTCATCTTCCTCACAATTTTGCAAGTTCTCTTCCTCCATAACCCAGTATTCTTCAGAATCCTCCGGTTCGGACAATGACTGACTCTTCCTTAATTTTTTCTTTACTGAAAACATTTTTCTTCTACTCAAGCCTCTCACAGGAACCCCAATCTTTTTACCTCTTCTGGAAGAGACTTTTTCCTTTGTTGCCCCAGAACCATTGTTTTGTTCATATTGACTGCTGGCTGGCTTCATAGACATTTCATCTTCCTTCAAAGAGCCACAACTTTTAATTTTCTCTCGCTCTGTAATCTCTGCACTTTTTCGGAAGGCATACAAACCCTTCCTGAGCATGTAGTCTGGAACCAAGTAAGATATAGAGGTATTCTCCACAGATGATCCTTCATCCCTTGATGAAAGCTCCTCTGAAGTGATACTTAGTATACTTGGCCTTTTTTGCTTCCGTTGAGACATATAAGCATCATAGTCATAGTTTGTTTCTATATTGTCAAAACAAGTGACCCAAGATGGTGGAGGCACAAGTTTTTCTATCATGTCTTCTGTCCATGCACTACTTTTTCCATCCAATATCATCTCTCCATTACATTCAGGCTGTGTCTGGATTTTGTTTTCAGAACCTAAATCTAGCCTTGCCTCAAGTTCTCCATTGGTATCCTTAATTCCTTTTAAACCTTCTGAGTCTCCATTTTGTTCTTTATCATGGATAGGACATGCCTCAGTGTGTTCTGAGCACACATTTGGTGGCTCTACCTCCACAGCCTGTGATTTTACATATGGTTTACCCAATTTTATGGTTTCATTCCTCAACTCACTGTTCTGCACTATTGTTGTCTGTGTTTCAGTTTCTTGTACAGCATCAAGACTAAGTTTTGGAGAGAGTGAAGATTTACACTCCTCTTTATTGAAGACAACACCTTGTACTGCAAGCTCCTCACCTTCTGTGTGTGGGCCATACAGTACACCTTCACAATATAGATCACGCTGCACTAAATTGTCTGGTATTTCTTTAACAACTGCCACATCGTATATTGGTATGGTTTCTTTATAAGACTTCCACATCTGTATGGCAGCAGGGGAACCACTTCCATACTCTATTCTTACCTCCTCTTTCTCATAAGCATAGCTTCCTGGAGGCATATTTCGGTATTGGGATGAGTTGCACGTATTTTTATGAAAGTCCCTTTCCTGCAAGGGTGCTGCAGGTGACATGGACATGTCTACATTATCCAGATTACTTTCATTCTCTGGACAGCTAATGCCAGAAGAATGGCACTCTGGGTTTCCTGCATCACAGCCTTTACTATCTGAACCAAGGTGCTTCTGAGGCATGTGTTCTGGTTGTCTTGGGTCAGTCTGTGTTTCTTTTGTTTCTGTTCTTCTTCCAGGACTGCTATAATGTCTAAACCGAGTAGCATGGTAAAACATAGGGGAAGGTGGATAGGGATTAAAATTGGGTCTTCTGTTCATTCTAGTGTTCATTTGATGCTGGGGAACATAATATCCTCCTGGATATTCATGGAGTGCAACAGAATAGAAAGGAAAATATGGATTTCCTCCTCTGAAACCTGAAAGAGAAACAAAAAATAAAATAAACCACACCCAGATCTCGTTTAAGCGTTATGTCAAATCAAAAATAAATGCAGCAATAAACAGTCCTATTCAATAGTCTTTCAAATTACTTTGTCTTTTCTTGATTGGTTAATCAAAACTGATTAATGAATAAAGGCACATTAAAAAAAAAAAAAAAAAAAAAGTTCCATGCCCTTTTGATTATGCTAGGTTTGTGTAAAATACATTAGTTGTAACCCTTTATTAGACCTTAATTAAGTTTAAGTTTCTCAAGTTTGTGAAAGCCTTACCTGGTCCCGGAACACAGTATGGATTGTAGAGTTGGCCAAGGTACCAAGGATTCGGGAAAGGTAATTGTGCTGTTGGTTGTGCATAAAAAAAGGGTCTTTGTTGAGATGCAGAATATTGTCCATTTTCTGGAGGAGGAGCAGTATTATTCATTGTTCAGGCTAAATAGAAGAGATTGGAGTTGCTATTTATAGTTACTAATTACATTTAGATGTCCATGTAAATGTTTTACCTTATGTACAACATTGTGTGCAGCTATAAAAACCTGAAACCAGACTGTGGTGGTCGTATATGATTTTTGAAATCATGGAAAAGTTTGTGACCATTCCATTCACCAAACCTTCAAAGAAATGCCTACATAGTTGCTGCATTATACAGATTAAATTGAATTTAATGTGTGCACCTTAACTGCCAAGAGTTCCTAGTTTGATAGTGCAAGGACCAATGATAATCCATGCGATCATAAACTGGTCATTCAAATTTTGATTTTTCCCCTTAAAATTTTATGGGACAAATTGTGAGGACAGCATAAAAATTTAAAAAATAAAGATTAGTTTTCATTGGTTCTTAAGCAAGGTGTTTTAACAGGACATGTCTGCATTTCTTTGGAGATATTCAAGACATACAATAGTCTCTGAAGAAATAATCTACCACATGAAACAAAGTCTTGTACTTATGGATATTTCAAGTGGTGGAAGCAAAACTTTAAAAATCAAAGAATTTTACATAGGATAGAGAAATTATGTAACTTTATTGAGTCATAGCTTGAATGGACATAACCAGTAACTATGGCCTAACTCATTAATGGCAAACTGCCATCTAGAAATCATGTAAATGTTATGGTCACATTCATATTGTGTATATAAATCTAACGTTTAGATTAAAAGCCACCATGGAAGAAGTAAACAAAGAAACATACAAAAACCAGAACCCACAAGTCATGCTTCCTCTAGACTCCACAGCATAGCAACTGCTAGAGCAGCTGTCCCCCTGTATTCAGTTTGTAGTAAAATAGGTACAAACATGTCAAGTCATAAGATGCTCTTGCAGGTCTTTTTCCAAGAGTCCTATTAATCACCTGACACCAGCGCAAGAATTTCATCAGTCCTAATGCTTTAATGGTTGCACCGCCAGGTGGTCTATCATTCTAGCATGAATGCCTAGTATAAAGAGACAACCTCCTTTACAAGTGGGAATGTCATCCATGGTGCTAATTGCTCCATGTACACATAAACCTCTCAACTCAATTTCAGACTTGGCAGGTCTGGCATGCTAGGAAGTTTTGGACGCAACAAAATTCTGACTATAAAACCCCAATAAGTTGCATATAAATTTTGTTATTTGTTAGCAGTGTATATTTGATTGCACAATGTATAGAGGACATGCTAGATCAATCATTGTGCTTTGAGTACGTTTCAAACACAAAGTAATTGTTCATATAAATAGCAAGTTGTGTTTATTTTAAAGATAACATTTCCAACACCTGCAGTTTAGGCATGGAGATATGCTGAAATTCTCAAAGGACCACTAAAGACACCCAGACAACTTCATTGTTCTGAAGATGAAAATGCAGTGGCCCTTTAGTTTTCGGGGCTCTAAAATACTGCAGTTTAGTAACAATGTTATGTTTGCAGGGTTAACATGCCTCTAATGGCTGCCTTCCTTAGTTATTCATAGACAGAATTTAACTGGTTCAATCCTGTCTTGATGCGTACTAGCACTCCCAATGCTTATTGAAAACGGGGGAGGGGGTAAAGGAGGAGGTGCAACGTGTAACCATGACAGTTAAAAGACCACTCTAGGCACCCAGACCACTTCAGCTTAATGAAGTGGTCTGGGTGCCAAGTCCAGCTAGGATTAACCCTTTTTTTTTTTTTTTAAATAAACATAACAGTTTCAGAGAAACTGCTATGTTTATAAATAGGTTAATGCAGCCTCTAGTGGCTGTCTCATTGACAGCCGCTAGAGGCGTTTGTGTGCTTCTCACTGAAAACCACAGTGAGAAGACGCCAGCGTCCATAGGAAAGCATTATGAATGCTTTCCTATGAGACTGGCTGAATGCGCGCGCAGCTCCTGCCGCGCATGCGCATTCAGTGGAAGAGGAGGAGAGGAGGCAGAGAGGAGGAGGAGAGCTCCCCGCCCGGCCCTGGAAAAAAAGGTAAGATTTAACCCTTTCCTCGCCATCCAGCCCGGCGGGAGTGGGACCCTGAGGGTGGGGGCACCCTCAGGGCACTGTAGTGGTCCTTTAAGACATAACATTTATAATACAGGTTTGTATTACAAAAACTATAAAGTGTCCTTTTACGATTTCTACAGGCATTCAAAAATTGAGTAGTTTAATTAAGGACAGCCTGATAAATGAGAATTAGTTTATTTAACTGCATATACAGAAAACATTAATTTGGTCTGACAAGTGTACTTCATTACAAAGTTCAAATCACAAGTATGAGGAAATGTTCTTTAGCAGTAAAAAGTTATACGTAACCCCTAATATTAGAGATTGCACATAAAGTATGGTTTTCTGAAAAGAGGCTTACGGTACTAAATACAGGGCACTACCCATGGAAACCAGTTGAGCAAGCACATTGCATTGGAGAGTCTGCCCCTTTTACCACATTTGCACCACTTTTCAGGAGTGTGTTTTTTGTTTTTGTTTTTAAAAACCACTAGGTCAACCATTGTGTCAGACCTAAAATATGGAACAGCTTAAAAGAAACACTTTGGAATATATCTTTACATCACTGTAAAAAGTGTTAACCATTTCTTCATTCACTTACCAGATTACAGCACAGAGGTCCCTCAGCACTGGGTCAGGAGCCACCTCCTCCAATGGGGGGGGACCTAATGCACATACGTAGGGAGCACAACTTATGCTTTAAGTCTTCCCATAGGAAAACATTGCCTCACACAAACCTTTCCTTTTGAGTTGAGTGTTTTACACTGCTAAAGAAAGCATCTATGGACTAAAAATTGAAATATTGTGGTTTTGGTTCTTCAAGCATAACCATGTGCAGAAAAGGGACATAAGGTGATTAAAAAAAAAAAAAAAAAACCACCACAGTATTTTTAAACTCCTAGCTATTCTCTATAGTAGAGTACTAGGTACATACATTAGAGAATAGGTCAGGGACCTAGATGTCCAGTTAAAGACACAAACAATTACAGGGAGTACACACACACACACAAAACAAAACCCCAAGAACAGCATACACACACACACTCTGGCAATTCTTCCTAAACTTTATTAGCAGCAAGGCTACCACACTTCGGTTATAGTTATATTATTTAATTGGAGGACAGCATTACTCTAGCTAACTCAAGACAAGCCCATAATGTAGGACACGCAGTGAACTTTCTTTTCAAGCTGCTTTTTTTAAAGTTAACCCCTTAAGGACACATGACAAATATTCCATTATGATTCCTCTTTTATTCCAGAAGTTGTGTCCTTAAGGGGTTAATACATTCTGATAAAAGCCAAGGAATTGTACTAAACAAAAAAAAATAAAAAAATAAAAAACACAAATGCATGAACATGAAATTATACGTATTAAATGAAGCAGTTGGGAACTCCCAGGGTTATTTAAATGCTTGAACCATTTTACCATTTCTTAACCAAAAAGGGGGTTGGGAGGGGACGTCACAATAGATAAGTAGTAGACTCAGAAAACCAGTTTAGCGAACTTTAAAATAAGGGGTATCACTACATAACAAACTGCACTAAGTCTTTATCATATTCTGTTATACACATAAAACTAACCTATTCTTACAAACATCTCAAAACCCACTCACCTAGTTACATTCAAAAGCACAACTAACTTTCCACTGCCTCACTACCACCTGATACACATTTATAATTTAATTAGCCTAGGGAATCTCCCTCAGCACCAATTAGTGGATAGATGGGGAAGGTGGAGCATAGATACAAAATGAGCATTGGCCTGAATACAGGGAGTGAAACAGCATGAGTGATATAGTAACTGATCCATGTAAACAAGTAGATAGTATATATAGAATTTAGTGGGCACACTGGTAAATAATGGTGTGGGCAAGAATATTAATAAGGCATAATCATGGCCACTAGGTGTACGCTATATTTTAAAGAATGATATCTCTCACTGTTTATATATATATATATATATATATGTGTGTGTGTGTATATGCATACATCCCAAGTGTCCCTATTTGAAGGGAGAGTCCCTATTTTGGGTCCAAATCAATCTGTCCCTTTTTTCTAGGAGCTCCATATTATTGGTGTGTTTGAGTGAATAGAGCTCCACAGGAAAAATACTCACAGTAATGTGTCTTTAAATTACTATAAATGTGTTTACAAATTAATCTGTGTAAACCAGACACATTGTTTTGTTTTAAATTACATTTGACTTGTATAAATTGTTATTAGTAAGTCAACTAAAATTTTCTTCAGCAGTCCCACGTAAGGCCTTTCTGTCATAGGAAGGCTTAAATGTCGCTAAGGCTTGCTATGCCCTCAGGTCTGCCTCCTGTCCCATTCTGCAAATCATGCTCGGGGGACCTGCATGGCAGCATTCATCCGGCAGCCACAATCACCGTTACGGTGTCTCAGCCAATGATTTGTAACATTGTCTGACTATTCTCCTCACTTTGAGAGATCATTGTCTGAACTGTGCTAAAAAGTATAAAAGTGTTAAAAAACAAAACAAAATCATTTTGTTCAACCCTTTCAGTGCTGATCACAGCATTAACTCTTTGGTCAGTTTGATTAGGTTGAATAGAACCTTGGTACTACCGATATTATTTTTATGGTTAAAAAATATATTTCTGTTTGCTGCAGCAGTTTTTTTTAACCCCTTCCTTGCTGCCTGATCACTGTACTTTACAGTATCTATGCTGTATGGTACTGTATCAGTGATTCATGTGATCTGAGGGCTCTCTGACCAAGCTAACTTGTATTTTTTTTTAAATTACCCTTTTAGTGCTGGTGCTTTATATGTGATCAGTAATTTTTGTTGGGTTTTCTGTGGGTGGAAGTGGGACTTGTAGGATGGGTGTGGTAGTGTGTATTAGGCAGGTAAGCAAATTAATTTAATTAACCCCTTAGTGACATACCTTTACTTAATCCCCCTAAGATGGCATGCTATAATATGTCAAATAAGGTATATTCTTGCAGCCTAAG